CAGGCACGGTGCCTGCGTTTCTTATATAGAGCCAGCTAGCCGCCAGCTGCTCTGAAGTCACGCACGACTGTTAAATCACATCACATCGCGGCGCCTAAGCAGTGGCCAGGCACGATGCCTGCATTTCTTATGTAGAGCCTGCTAGATCGAAGTTCTAGCTAGCCGCCAGCTGTCACCCCACGACTGTTAACTCCCATCACATTCCGGCGCGAGTGTCATCTTAACACTGGCCAGAAACAGTGCCTGCGTTTCTTACACAGAGCCAGCTAGCAGCCAGCTGGTCTAAAGTCACCGCACGACTGTTAAATCACATCACCTTAGCAGGGCCAGGATGGTACCTGYGTTTCTTTTATGGAAGCTGCTGCTCTGAAGTCGCCGCATGGCTGTTAAATCACATCACATTCCGGCGCAAGTGTCAGCTAAACAGTGGCCAGGCACGGTGCCTGCATTTCTTATACAGAGCCAGCTAGCAGTCAGCTGCTCAGAAGTCACCGCATGACTGTTAAATCACCTCACATCGCGGCGCCTAAACAGTGGCCAGGCATGGTGCCTGCGTTTCTAATATAGAGCCGGCTAGCCGCCAACTGCTCAGAAGTCACCGCACGACTGTTAAATCGCATCACCTAAACAGTGGCCAGGCACGGTACCTGCATTTCTTATACAGAGCCAGCTGGCAACCAGCCGCTTTGAAGTCACCGCACGACTGTTAAATAACATCACATCGCGGCGCCTAAACAGTGGCCAGGCACGGTGCCTGCGTTTCTTATATAGAGACAGTTAGAAGCCCGCTGCTCTGAAGTCACCGAACACGACTGTTAAATCATATCACATTTCGGCGCGAATGTCACCTAAACAGTGGCCCGACACAGTGCTGTGTTTCTTTTATGGATTCACATAATACCGTGGTGCGAGGCTTGTTTTATTTATGTAGGTCAGCTGGCTTCCAGCTGTGCTGTTCAATTCGGACGTATAGCTGCCATACAAATTGATCGATCCAAATATAGTAAAGTACACGACTTTATATGACAAGATATTTTCACGAGATTCAGCACAGATAATTGTCAAAGGCAAAGTTATAAACTCGAAATATATTGTTTAGTTCGAAGCACTATAGCATATAGCTGCCATACATACTGGCTGTTTCAATTCAAAATAGTGGTAATTTTATATTTTACCTGCGTAGGGTATTATGGCTTCGGTGCAGCGAGAGCTAACTTTTTTCTTGTTATTGCTATTGTAAAATTGAAGTTTGAGTTGGTTGGGGGTTTTTTAAAATAAATTTTAGAATTTGCTTTGATGCCTTAATTCTTCTTTTCTTCTTCAATTATTTTTATATATAAAAGTAGGTTCCATATCGCGTTAACGACGCTTTAAGTAGCATTCCGCAAATGCCAACAAAACAATAACACATATTTTAAACGTTTTAATTTGATTTAAAATATCACTTTATTTGGAGAAAAAACGTGGAAATGTTCATGCGCACTACCAACATTTGGTATATGTATGTATGTAAGTCGCGTATATATATATAAACTATTAACAAACATTTACATAATATTTCTGATTTGCGCATATTAATATCAATTGAAGAATGTCACTGTATTTGTATACATGTATATAACGTGTATGCAGCTACATATGTATAAAAGTGTTATGTAATATTTTGCAATAAAATTGATAAAGTGACTTAAAATACTAGATGCTTATGGAGAAAGAGTGCGTATATATGTAAAAGCGGATTATACTATAAATAATGTACATTATTAAATTGTATATAATATAAGCTGCATTTATATGCATAACTGTAAAAGCATATACTAATACAAAAAACGTATACGCTGCTTTAGAATAATTAGATTTTGCATAGACAATAAGAATGCTTACTAAAAATGCTTCAAAACTGTATTGTTAGTTTGCTAAATCATAAAATACTGTTTGTTAATACAAAATCATTTGATATAAATCTATAAATGCAATTTAAATATATAATTTAATTATATTAACGCTTGTATAATAGCCACGTGATAGCATCACAGTTGTGTGGTGTTTCGCATGCGTATTTAGTGCAACAACAAACATTTGCAACTTTTTATCCAGTACCTTAAAATACTTAACTTAAAAAAATTTATTTTGAGTTTACAGATATTTAGTGGGAAGTGAAAATATAGGTTATGCAATTTTTGCTTAAAAAATGTTTAAATTTAGCAATTTAAATTATAAAAATTGTAAAAAATGGTGCTGAATTTATAACCAAAAAAATATTTTCATTTCAGCTCAGACCTCAAATCAAAATATAGGTTATATATTTTTTTCTTAAATCAATTTTAAATTTAGCAATCTAACAAATTGATAATAACATAAAATAGTGCTGAATTCATAACTAAAATATACAATGTTTTCATTCTAGCTCTGATCCTTACAATGAATTTTCGAATTTTTAGTAACTTGAAGAATGTTGCATGCAGCCGAAATGGCTTAAAAAAAAATTATAATAAAAAAATAAATTAAATTAAAAACTCGCTACATACTAGTCTTAATCTTAAATTAATTTAYGTACCCCTTTTTCCCAAAAATTATTATTAGTCTTAATATAATGGTGCCTCTTTCTAACCTCACAAAAGAAAAACATAAAACAATAATAAGAAAAAATACAATATATTTTACTCTTAAAATAAAATATGATACCTTTTCTAACATCAACAAAAAAAATATAATAATATTAAGTAATGAACATGTTTCTACTATTAAACTTAAAATAAAATATGTGCCTCTTTCTAACCTCAAACAAATAAATATATATAAAAAAAAAACAAAATAATATTGGGAAATGCACTATTTTCTACACTTAACCTCAAAATAATGTATGTGTGTTTGTATTTATGGCTTGCCTACAATAATAAATAAATTTCGTAATGTTGCAGGTATACTAGAAGTGTGTGTGTGTGTATGCATGTATATGAATAATTTAATTTCTAGCGTAAAGTGCTCATTGTTTATGCACCTAATTTTACAACATTTGTCATACTTTTCTGTGTCTATTTACTAAAATATGTGTTCATTAATAATTTTCATATTATTTTGTTGTTGTTAATTGAACGCATACATCTATGWACTTGGTAGTTTAAGTTTTCCTCTGTCACGAACGTATTTAAACAATTACTATATGCTCATTTTCTTTGCGACTTCTTTGCCGCCTATTCTAAGTGTAACGATTATCTCAAAGGTTATACATGGGGTTACTGGTGGCATCGAATAGCTGTGTGCCCGTCGATTCGATCATCGAACGCAATGCGATGCTGCGTTGTTTCGAAACCGCTTTACGTAATGTGAGTTCAAACACATTATTCTCATCGATGTTGTCCATTGGCAGATGATCGCGTGTCAGCACAGTTTCGTTGTCGCACAATTGTTGTGTTGGCTTCTGTAACTCTTGGAATGTCAGTTTGTCATTGACATAATTGATACGATTATCGTTGAATTCTTTTAGGAATGCTTCAGTTTTCTGGTGTTTGATCGCTTCGCTGGGAAAGCATTGCAGTAGTTCTTCGAATGACAACTCGGCCACCAGATTGTTAAGAATCTCTGTGTGTGGGTTTGCAATAATTTAGCGGTGGAATGGAACATTTTGTTAATTTTGTGGCTTACCGGTAATATGCGCCTTCCAATTAGGCACCATGTTTTGTTTACTTAGGATTTTCTTCAGTAGCGATTCCCAATGCTTGGGCGTAAAACCGTTTGACTAAAAAATGATATTAAAAGATTTGTTAAAAAAAGAAAAAATAATAATTTCGGCTGCAAGGTGGTTATAGTATCCGCCATAGGTGATTTTACCTATAAAATTGTATAAAAATCTATTAAATCATGAACAATATGTTCGGATATTGTAGCATGGTCTCGAACAAAAATCCATGCTGAATTTTGTCAAGATATCTCGTTAAATAAAAAAG